AGAAACGAAAGCTTTTTGAATAACTTAATTGGCAGTACGATAAGCTGCAGCCAGATTCTTGCACAGCTTGGTATTCAAAATAATCAGAATATTATTAATACTATTGAGAACACTTATGAGGGACAGAGTATTCTGCAAAAATTAAAGTTATTGGGTGCTCTGAGTRATCACGGACAAAATATCGTGGTGAAAATTGATCCGTACAACGTGGAAGTACCGAACAGCGGTGGCGGATGGACGACGAAACCGCAGGGTATGTATCTATGTGTCTATTTGTTAGCCAAGAAAACAATATTAACGCTAATTTAAATATATGAAATAGACGCAACATCCTATCAGAATATGCTTCACTTCTTGGACGTGTTAAATGAAAAATGTACAATTTCTTTGGACTTGGCACGCATTTGCCAACATTTAAATATATGGTGAAATGGAGCTTGTAAGCTTCAAGTTCAAGCATCTGTTCTTTGTCCTCCCTTAATTTCATCCATGGATATGCAAGAAGTCCATCCGTCCATCAATCTACCCATCTATCCTACCGTCCATCCATCCATCCATCCATCCATCCATCCACCCATCCACCCATCCACCCATCCACCCATCCACCCATCCACCCATCCACCCATCCACCCATCCACCCATCCACCCATCCACCCATCCATCCATCCATTCCTCAGTTTATCTGTGACGTTCATACACTAGCGTCGTAAATTGTGAACAACATAGCCACCGTAAAACCAAGACATAAAATCCTAGTATTTTATCAATACTAATTATGCTCTCTTTTTCCACGAGTAGTTAATCCTTTGGGCAACAATATCCAAGGCAATCAATATAGTACTGGAATGAAAGGTGTACATCTTYAATGTTTTGTTTGAGTTGTATCCATATTCATGTGTCTTCTCATGGGCAACCATTACTGCAACTTCCATAAACATGCGAACTCTGTGTCTGCGAGCTGCACGCTGAAATTTGGTTTTTCGCTGCYGTCAATCAAGCCATATCACTCGGTACCTCATATTTTTGACTGGCGACAGCGAAAAAACAAATTTCAGCGTGCAACTTGGAGACACACAGTTCGCATGTTTATAAAAGATGCAGTAGACGAGGAAACGATTCTCAAGGAAATGACACATGGACTGAAATGGTAAAACATTACGCCGAATTAAAAGAGGTCTTTTCAAGAAGCTAACCTCAATTTTTTGTCTTTTTTTAGTGTTACTTGACCTAGGGTTTGTCATTGATGGCTCAATGAACGTAGGAAACGAGATGAACTTTAGACAAATCATCATCTTCGTGTTAAACATGATAAAGATGTTMAACGTCTCTCCCTACACAACACACGTTGGACTCGTGATATCATCCATAAAACCCACAATCGTCTTAAATTTCCAAACCAACATAGACATTATAACTCAAACGCTTATCAACGTAAAGTTTCCTGGAAAATACGGATCAGGTTCAAACATCGGACATGGTCTTTATGTCATGAAGAACATGTTTATAGCCACAGGAAGACGAAATGTCCCACGTACTTTGGTCGTCGTGACAGCAGGAATATCTACTGATGATATCATTACTCCTGCCACTCAATTACGCTTGATTCGAATTGATATATTCTGTGTTACGTTGGGGAATCTTAACAGTGAATTTCAGATGCAGTCCATTGCAAGCTTGCCACATTATGAACACATCTTTTCAGCAACGTTTTCGCAGTTGRGGTTCATTTATCAAACCATATTTACTAAGATTTTGAAAGGTAAGAGGATATCTTTTCCGTTTTAATGATAAACCTAAATTTTTACTCCTAATGGTATGTTATGTTWAGCTAGGGTGTAATGTTTTCCCATTCCAGACCATGTGTCATTCCCTAGAGTRTCATTTCTTTGTTTAACCGTTGCGCATGAGAAGACACATGAATATGGATACAACTCAAACAAAGAATCCTATTCTCAAGGGAATGACACGTGGTCTGAGAAGAGAAAGGATTACGCACAAGCTAAATGGAACAAGAAGAAACTTTACACTTACAATGTCTTTTGGTTTCAGGAATATCAATGAGGTTTTGTAACCCTTGTTTCCAAGGTAACGTACAATCTATAACATCTTTTCTTCAGCATCTCATTATGATGTTGCTTATACCCAAGCTTGACCACAATTCTAACTTGAAGCCTTAACATTTTTTTGACGCTAGTTGCCGTTGCCTAATTATGAAATAGACGCTTTTCAAATTCTTAAATTACCGCTGTGTTCCTTGATTACAGAATCATTTTCTCAATATTCAAAACATCCACAAGTAAGATTAGAATAAAGAATGTAAAYTACAACCACTCTGAAACTCCACGGACCTCGACTGGGTCACGTGAGATATTTTACACAAACTCGAGCCTAACCCCGAGCAAAAGAGAACCAAAACTAAAGTATAAATGTACCACATAGTTTTTCTTGCGCATCTGACTTATATTGATTGATTTTTTTTTCGGTAGGAAAAAACAATATGTGCGATTTATGCCCTGTGGACGTCTATTCTAATTTTCTAGAAGAGCAAAAAACAAAAGACAAAAAAGAAAATGAGAACTACTTCGATGAAAATAAGAGTGGATATGACAATGAGAATATTACGAAGACTCAAGCGACCAATGGAACAGCGTTTGGCTTGGATGGAAAAGGGAGTAAGAATGGATTGAAGTCTTATGCGAATGGCAAAAAGAAAAAGTTAACACTATGGAGCATTTTAAAGCTAAAAGTGAACAATAAAGGCATCAGCTATAAGGATAAAAACAAAAACAAAAACAAAGGAAAACAGAAAGCGAAAACGAATGGAATGAAAAATAAAAAATTGCCTGATGACGACAACAACGTAAACCAATTTTACAAAAATAAAGCGGCAGCAAAAATGACAAAAAATAAGAAAATCAAAGAAATGGAAAATAATCCGACTGATTTTGTGTCATTACTTGATGAAGATTATGAAGATAGAACCAAACAATACCCAAAATTAATTCCTCCTGGACGTTTCCATGGAAACGATGATAGTAGTGATACCTTAACGAGTCAAAATAAAGAAAATGAAGAAAAGAGTAACAGGCATGATAATGGTTACTATGACGACTCAGCCATTGTCCAAGATGATTTGGTCGATCAAGACGTTATTTATTCGACTCTTCTCAACGACGATGAAGCTATGAAACAAGGGTTGAAATACTTTGACGACAGGAGAGTTGATCATAAGAACACTGCGCATGCTCCATACGATCCGCGTGCTCAGTATAATACGCATGCTCAAAGCGACAAGGGCTTTGTCAACCAGAATAATGCGCATTTGAAAGAAAACGAACAAATCAATCAGAAAATAAAAGAAATAACCGAAGGCAGCAACATGGATGTGTCAGTGGCCTCTCGTCATAACTGGGAACAAGATGAACGTCTAAATGACCTGGATGCTGAATTCACTGAATATGACAGCGACAAGGACAGTAAAGTTGAAGCTTTTAAAGGTATGTTCAGTTATCGAAGTCCAAAGAAAAGCTAATAAAGACTTCGTGGCGCTGCGCCACGAATGTGGGGCTGCATTTTAGGGCGCAAGATGGCCGACTTCATCCCTCAGTTATATCCCACAATCCTATGCGCTCCGAGTTGTTACCAGTCCCTTTTATTTGAATTCGGAAAATCATATATCATTAATATTCTAGAGAAATCCAAATGCATTGATAGGACGAGCCCTAACCTCACGTTCTGCGATTGGTTACGGCAAGGTTGCTATAACAAAGACGGTGCTGTGTCTCAGAATTATTCGATGTTAGGGAATAATTTGAATATCATTCATCATTTCCTTACTACGACCGCGAAATAACTTTTTTTCCTTTTTTCCTTTCTTATTTACAGAATGCAAAGACTATTCAAGTGAYTGTGGTTCTTATGCAACACAAGGCTTTTGTTCCGAGTTTGCACCTCCTACGAGTATCGGGACAGTAAATATCATGTGTCGACAGTCTTGTGGATTGTGTGGCAACCAGAACAGTAACATAATGAGGTAAGGATTAGCAATGATCACGCTTGTAACGCAAGCATTAGCAACATAYGCAGACATAAAAGTTTTTTTTTACTGCATATAGATATTTTAGCTAAATATTTTATTATTCTTAACCAGCCCAAGTTCGAACCAAAGGAACAATGTCGAAAGAAAGATAGCCGAAGAACTGGACATTGCGAATGAAGGGACTTCAGGCACTGACGTTTTATAGATCGTTTGTCCAACATCTAGCCTTGATGAACTTGAGAAATGGTTGCTTTCCTTCTATTTTTTAACACGACAGACTTGTCTTAGATCAGACGCTACATTTGGAATGGTTATGAATCAAAGTTTATCGCAAATGCAAACATCCAAGTACAGAGAATTTATACAAGCGAAAATAGAATGATAGAATAATTCATACTAGATAATATAAATGCCTACTAGGTAAATATGAAGCTTATAATGTATAAACTAGTAGGAAATAGAAAAGAAAAACTTACGAAGGTTTGGTGGGTCTTCTGTTGCTTCCATTGCTGGTGATAATTTGCATAGAATGACATTCTAAGTTACGTGCCATGACAATACACTAGGGAATAATTAATGCGTGCTCTAAATAATGTTAAGCACGTTAATCGAAGATATAAGAATAGAATAATCTAAGAATAAGTTACTCTATCTTAGTGACATTAACAATAAGGAATCACTAGAAATAAAATAAGTAAAAGAGGAAGAAAGGTTGAAACTGAGGAAAGAAGAGGGAAAGAAAAATTAGGAAAGAAAAAATGAACTAATGGAGACAAAAAAAGGAAGAAGGAAAGGAAGGAAGGAAAGAAGCAGAAAGGAAAGAAGGAAGGAAGGAAGGAAGGAAGGAAGGAAGGAAGGAAGGAAGGAAGGGAACACGAAACGCAAAACATCATTACTTTCACATTACATAACATCCCTTTTTTTGTTTACTTTAAGGATAAATAATAAGAGGGCTAACTCATATCTATGCCTATCCATCTTTAATAACGATACTCATCCACAAACAAAGCTAATAAATAAATATCGATATACCATCATCATTACTGCCGATAATTCACTCTTTCCATTGATGTGCCATCTGTTATTCAGTCAGGAGGTAGACATAGTTAGCGTTTGCTCCCCCAACACACTCATTTTCATCATCGTTATCACATCGGGTGTAATTCCTGCTGACACAGTGTTGAGAGTAACCCAGTTGTCCGTATGTATCRCATGCTCCTGCCCCAGCCCAGCATTCACCGTAGTACTGAAGGCCAAACATGCTGAAGTTGCGGTTGCGAGCTTCACTGGCACAACGACAGGCAAGGCTGGGGGTTTAATGGATATTAGAGATGGTGAGTGAGATAGGAAGGAAGGCCATGATAGATGGTGAGTGAGATAGGAAGGAAGAATAGATGGATGAAGGGGAGAAAGAAAGGTAACAGTGACCGACCGAGGGAGACAGGAAAGGAAGGAAGAAAGGAAGGAAGGAAGGAAGGAAACCTTACCTATGCAAATACTGGTCCCAGTTTTTCCAGTTAATATACTGTTGAAAGTATGGCGAAGATCTGTCTCTGTCTGTGAAGAGCAACTGAGGTAGACCACGTGAGTAGTACTGGTCTATGTAACATCCCAGTTTGTAGTAATCTACGTCACAAGGAGTTGCTACCTGACCACGTGCTGATAAAAAAAAAGACAGTTGTAAAACTGTTTACACCGAATCAAAACATGGCGACCAATTTGAATAACTATTGTTTTGCACTGACTAGGACGTGTTCACGTGGAAACATAAAAGCGTTCCCCTGGGAAACTTAATTCCTTCTCGTATCAATTAGATTAGACTAGATTCAATTTTTCCTGCCTCCTGTCATGGCTGCCACCACGTGATGGTGCAAAGCCTTTAATAGGGACCATTAACTTTTTATCGGAGAAAAAGCGGGGGTGGTATTGGCTGGAAGCAAAAAAAGTATTTTTAAAAATTAATTTATATTTAAAAACTGCATTAGGAGCCATTAACTATTTCTCAGAGGAGGGAAAGGGGTTGAGTGAAAGAGAAAATGGGGGTCTCGAAATTTGAGTGGCACTGAAAAGACAGGTCTTTGGAAACCCTCTAAAATGTAGGGAACGAACAAATGATCCCAAAAGAATTGAGCATACTATGGGTGGTAGAAAAATAGGCATTTTTATAATTTTCTCACCCAATCCCCAACGAAACTGAACCAATCCCCAGATAAACAGTGAACAGTCTTTTGATAATGACTGCATGCTTTACAGCTCAGTTAAGTCTTCAGTAAAAACGTGCATACGGAATTTATGACTCAGCTGACCATCAGCTGCTGATAAACATGCAGGAAAACACAGTTTAAATAAACTGTTAATTCCTACTTAAAGTTTGTAACGTTTCATTCAAATCTTAATAAAAAACTTGTTTGCGAAGTCATGGCTCAACCGAGTAACCATGTGCGTCTTATTAACTTGAAAAAACACTGCTTTCAAACTGTGTTAATGCTTGCCTTTGATTGCAAAAAGGTCTCTAGTAAATACGTGCATGCAAAATTCATGGATCAGCTGACCATATGCACCTGATTGATCGGAAAAACACAGCTTTCAAATTGTATGCTAGCTTTATTACTAAAGTCTGTAAAAACGTGTTTGCGAAATCCATGACTCTAACTCCATTAGGCTGCATTCATAATGTATGGCAGAGGGAGGGCGGGGCGGAGGGGGGGGGGCAAGGTGTGTTGGAAATGCAAATAGACTGTACCCTAGGCTGTGTTCATGATGTATGGGGGGGGGGGGGCAGGTAAAAATTGATGCGGGATCGGGAAAATTATGGTAGGAAAAAGAGGGAGTGATGGGTAAATTTTTATCAGTAAAATGGGGGGATGCACAATTGTTGGAAGAAGGGGGGATCGTATTTTTTTGCATCACTTTAAGGGGGTGTTGAGATTATTCTGGACGATTTCAAATTTTCACCTTCCCCCCCCTCTGCCATACATTATGAACGCAGCCTTAGTAACTGTTGCTATGTCGTTCCATAACTTCAATAATTTAGTTAAAATAGCTTACTATTTTCCATAGAAACAAATGAGACAAGAATCGCAAGAACCGCAGAGAACATATTGGTCAACTCAGTAGACACGATCCTGTAAAATAAAGCATGGATATTATTAGGATAATATAAATAAAWTAAAGTGTATYAAATYTGTTTAATTACTACYCTTTAATTYATYATATAATTTAAGATGTCATTAGGATAATATTATTAAATCWAAGTGTATTAATAATATAAATAATGATTACTCTTTCATTTTTTCGAGAGATTTTTTCGTATATCCCGTCCCATTCTTAACTGGATATCTTAACAGCAACCAACGTGTTCTTGACGAGAATAATAATACAAAAACATCAGTTATTCTGGGCTATTCCTTGACTGACCCGTAGGCTTATTCACCTTTGGATCGATCCGACTTCCAAACTTAGTTTGAAATAGGTGTGTAATTAATCTTTTTATTCCGACACTTATAAAATAAACAATCTGGCTTAAAAGATTTGACGAAGCAACGGAAAGAAACTAATGGAACAGAACTCTTTAACAGATTACGACCAACTTCATTGTGTGTGTGTGTGGGGGGGGGGGTTTTTTTTCGTTTTTTTTTTTTTTTTTTTTTGTTTTTTTTTGTTGTTGTTGTTGATATTTTTCCCCCTTAAAGAGGTAGTCTTTTCTCTCGTGAGATTCAACGGTTTTTCTCCTGTTTCTCTGATCATCCCAGATGTTGTTTCAAGGTTCGTTAAATTTCCAGGAGACCCCTCCCACGGAGGATTTCATCTGTGTGTTAGCCATACCCTGACTTATAAATATCAACCCCGAGGTTATTAAGTAGTCGATATATAAAATTTGACTTAAATTGTCAAACAATCCTTAATTTTAAAAATGTTAGTAATATCTCTTAAAATTGTATTCCTATGAATTATTTATTTGGCGAAAAAGCTAAAGCGCTTCAGCGTAACCAAATTGTCWGGCGACAAGATTAATGCGGACGTATTCGTATACTGGCAATTAAAAKCTACAAGTTCTATTCTGAAAAGAGAGCTAAAATATTTATGCTYCATWGATCCTGATGAATAATYATATTRTATTAGATATGAGACATATGTTTGTTCAAAAGATAACTAAGAAAACACTTTTAAATCGAAATTGAAAGGAAAAAAAACAGTCATCGTGTCAGAAAGTAGTATAGGATATTAAACCTTTYTGATTTTCAGCTTTCTACCTTTTTATCTCCTATTTTTCCCGTAATATTAAGTGCCAAACTTAAAACAATTATTTTTTTTCATATATCCTGTTTTCCATCCTGGTTTTATAAAAGCTAAGAATCCTAGTTATTTATAGCTGCTTAATTGATATGATTTTCCTACGCGGCCCGGGAAGTAGTTATATTTTTCCAAATAGTTTTCGAGATTTGCAGCCATCGATAACGCCACCGTTCAAATCAAAACACTTATTCTTACAACTAAAAAATTCATCACTAGTTACAAAGCGTAAATACGAAACAATACTAGGTAAAGCTACTTGTTCTGACGGGGAAAAAATATTGCCGAACCGCTCAGTTTTGTATCAGTTAGTAGACTGAGTTGCTTGTTCATTGTCTCCTGACTGTCCTACGAAGGTTTTTCTCCGAGTTCCGTTCAGTTCTTCCGCCCTCCTTAAAATCCATCTTCTAAATTCTACTTCGAACTATCGGCTGCCTTATCGAATGGGTTGCAAAACTTGTTAGGCATTAAGAGCTGTCCATCAGGAGTGGTAAATCTCGTTCGATGGTAAACGATCCTACCTTTCGCCTTTGATCTTGTAAGACAATTACACGCCGTTAGTTTCAAGAGCAATATCCTTTTTAAAAAAAAAAAGTTTTTTCGTAAAATAGAAACTTCTCTTATCAGTGAGATAATTTTGTAAAGTCATTGTTCAATACAACTGATTACCATGACAATAAATGGCTTTGCCAAACATCTTGATTCTTAAATAAACATTAATTTCGTAAAAGCCGTTGCATCGAATATTAAGTTGTTTTTATTATTGTAGTATACTTATTCGCAACTCTCAAGCTATTTTCATGGTCTAATTGATTTAAAGAAAAAACGGTTTTTACTTTAAGTCCATCAGTTTTGCCACCATTTTTGCACGCATTAATARATGTTTTGCATCATTTTGACCGCTGAAACATTACGGGTTTTCTTAACAACTTTCTTTTCGAGTCACTCACTTAATGTCAGCAATATTTATTCAGTATTTGATTTTTCCAGAACCTTTCTGATATAATATAAAAAAAAAAAACACGAATAAGAAAATCATTATCAGATTTGGGTGAACAAATTAATTATAAATACGGGAATATTCGACACCATTTAATCA